AAGTTTAGTGAGAAGATTAAATTGATTTAAAGTATAATGAGTAAAATAGGAGAGAGTAAAGTTCATTGTTGATTTGTGTAATTTACGCTTTTTTTATCCCTATCACTTACTTTTTTTTACAAATATACATTATTTTTATTTTGCAAAAGAAAAAAAAGAAATTCACAAATAATAAATAATATATGATTATAAAAATATTTGTCGAGTAACTATCTTCGCCCCCTCTCGTCTTTTGGCTGGATCGGTATCAGGTTCATTTTCCTCCCGAAATCTTCCAAGAAAGAGGCTTTCGTCTCCTCCGATCCTCTCCTCGTCTTGGTTTATGAGGTTCCCTCTTTTTTTCTTTGGCTTTCTAATTTTATTTTTCTTGATCGGAGATCTATAGGGTTTTCTTTTTCTTGTATTCGCATCACAAAATCGATTCGTTTTTTTTATTGATCTGTATAATAATCTAGTGATTTCTTTATACATGCATATGCATTTGGTTTAATTTTCCCGTAAGAAATTTGCAATTTCATTTTTCGATTGCTGTCTAATTGATTTTAATGTTTGCGCTTTTGATTTTTGTGTGCAGCTCGAAGGAGAAACCCACTCTTGGGTAAGTTCATTTTTATTCTAATTTCTTAATTGTATTGGATTTGACATTTTAAAAGATAATCAAATGGAGGTATCTGAAATGCTTATTATCTTGAGTCCTTGCGTGCCATTTAGAATGAACTTTCAAAGTAATAGGCCAAAGTTCATTCCTTTTCGCTGCAAATATTTTGGGTTTCTTGTCTATGAACCTTTTACGCTACTTATCTAGAAATGTACTATTCTTCAATTTTACCTGAAACTAATATAGGTATGATCATCTTTCTGTTTTCTCGTATCACAGAGCTTCTTTTTGTTTATAAGAAGGGAATGTTCGGTTTTTCTGCTAGACGCTCTCGTGTTATGTTAGATACTAGTAAATAAATAAACTGCACCTTTCATTTTTTCCCTGTAAGGAAGAAAAATATGAAGAAAAGCTAATATGCTAACAGTATAAGGAAAAACCTTTCTAGTGTGTATTTCTGATGTTCCTTTTTGTTATTTTTATTTCTTGCATAATTTCCATTTATCTTGTGTGTAGTGGAACGCGGATTAAGACCCGCAAACGGAATATTGCTGCGCCCCTGGACCCTGCAGCTTTTGCTGATGCAGTGGTCCAGATCTATTTGGATAATGCTGGTGATCTGGTAAATATCATAATGCAAAGTTTACATATCTGTAACCTAGATTTCAGATTAAGTATGATTCTAGACTTCTTGTTCTTTATCTTGTGACTTGCTGATTAAACACTTTTTTCGTGCAGGAACTTGTTGCCAAGACCGTTGAGTCTTCAGATCTTAACTTCTCGAGATACGGTGACACCTTCTTTGAGGTAAACTTCATTTAAGCTGAAATGTCAACGATTTCTTATTTTCTTTCTAAATGTATTTACTTGATTGGTGTCTGCTATTTCATTGGATATCAAGATAATGCATTAAGAATGGCGATCTACTGGAACAATACATACAGGATTTCTCTCACTTTTGTTGCTTATCTATGCTAGGTGGTTATTTGGTTGACATTTTGAGGCTAATGCTTGATCTACCTACTCTATATGCCTTGACTTTGGACTTAAAGATCCAGTTTCTAAGTAAAACTTGGTGGTGCTTTTTTAGACAGTATTAAGAATACTTGATAAAACTCTTTTACGCTAAACTTGATTATAGTCTTTCTCCTTCAATTGACCTTCCTACCATTACAATCTCAAGTAAATTGATTCTGCACAAGACAGGCTAGAAAATTTTCTTTTCAGAAACATTAAAGCTCATATTGCCGAAGTTTGATTAAATATTGAACTTCAAATCTGTGGGGTTCTAATTGCTTGTTCCTTTCTTTGGTCTTTTTTAGTTATATTGCTTTGTAGTGAACTAAATTGGCAATTGTAGGTTGTTTTCACTGGAGGACGCACTCAACCAGGCACAATTAAAGCTGATGAGGGGGAGCGACACCCATACTCTATCATAGAGTGTGAGGCTAATCGCGAAGCTATTTTGCCATCTGTGATCTATGTACAGAAAATCTTACGCCGAAAACCTTTTTTGATAAAGAATCTTGAAAATGTTATGCGAAGATTCTTGCAATCATTGGAGCTTTTTGAGGAAAATGAAAGGAAGAAGCTTGCAATTTTCACTGCACTTGCTTTCTCCCAGAAATTGTCGGGGTTGCCACCCGAGGCTGTCTTCCAGCCCCTACTCAAGGACAATCTTGTGGGCAAAGGACTAGTTCTTCCATTCATAACAGATTTCTTCAAGGAGTATCTGGTGGATAATAGCCTGGAGGATTTAATTTCTATTCTGAAGCGAGGGAAAATGGAGGACAATCTCATGGACTTCTTCCCTTCTGCGAAGCGATCTGCTGAAGGTTTTTCTGAGCATTTCACGTAAGTTTTCTGCTTAGTGACAGTTATTTTGTTTTCTAAAATCTCCTTGTCCTAATTTCTAAGATTCCATGCCTTCAGCTGTTAGGGAAATTTCGTAGAAAGAAACTAAAGACATAAAGAACAAGAAAGCCAATATATAATTTAACTTGTGATGGTATTATTGTTAAAAAACATATTTGCATGTTTTCGAAATAGCAATGGTAAGTTGAGTGTTATTCATAATTGGCTTAGATAATTGAACCTTTTTTTTGAAGGTTTCATGAGACCTGGTTAGGGTGTGTTGGTATGTGTTGTCGGGTAAAAAGTAGAATGTATGAACATGGTTGTCTCCTTTGTATTTATATTAGAATTTGAAGTAGTACACGTGAAGATTTTTCTAATGCTAGTCTTCTTCTAAACAGTCTAAGAAAGTCTGCTAGTTGGTCCCTAGATCTAATTGACTATGCATGGATCATAGTTTGCATAAGCAAGTCTGCAGTGTGTGCATTTAGGGTTTGCATAAGCAAGCCATCTTTGTATCCTATGTTGCTCGAACTTCATTTTTCATCAAGTATCCATGTTTGACACTAGTGTACTGTGTATGGCACTTGGATTAGGGATATGACCTCTAAGGATCCACCAAAAATATGGAAAAACTTAGAAAAATCTGACCATAGCTGTGTCCGATACATACCTATATCGGACACATACACCCTAGTCCAAGTAATATAGTTTGTATCACAGGTAAAACCTTGTATCAAAGAACCTGAGACTAATATTGGACAAAAAGCGGGAAGTTCAGCTTCCAATAGGATAAGTGACTTAATTTACTGACAGAGGATATGGGATAAAACTTGAAAACTACTATTTTCCATTGTTTTTCCATTTCCCAAACATTAGCAAGAAAAATATCCACTTCATACATACAGGTCCTATCATTGTTTTGACTATTTAGCTCGTCAAATATCCACTTCACTTAGCAAAATTTTCTTTTAATGATCTATCTTTCTTATTTGGCTAAAAGTATTCCAGAGATCATACATATAGGTTAATTCACATGTAAAGTGAGTGACCTGTACCTTTTTACACTTATCAAGGTAGGTTAACATATTTTCTATTTGTGTTTCCATGGAATTCCACCACGCATATAATCTCTAGGTGGGTGCAAACTTTTTCTATTTTTGGGTCCAATCCCATAAACTTGAGAAGATTTCACTGATTTAGGATTTATAATTTACTCAAAATATGGAGTCCATGAAAAAGAAACTACTAGTGACTGTTGAAACAAACTCAACCACGGTTATGATAACACGGATCCATCAACAGATTATGAACAACCTAGGAAACAAACAAGACACATGTTTAAACAATGCCAAGCTTAAAGCTAGGCCTGGCAATCCATGTATGTGCATGCCGTATCTTGTGCCAGCCCATAAATTATTAAATGTCAATTCTAACATGGATATGGTATGCATATTAAATGTGTCATGTTGATTGTATTTAACATATTGTACTGTGTATATTACACCATTCTTGTGTTTATTTAACATATCTTGTGCTTGCCATTTTTTTATCGTACCCCAAATTATCATGATATTGGTTTAAATCAATTTTTTATGCACCTTTTTGCAAGAAGGGAGAAAAAAATAGAATACTGATCATATATCCTATTAATCCTCCCATATTCAGTGGATTGAATTATCCTATACTATAAGGATTATCATATCCTGTACACATGTTTAAACAATGCCAAACTTAAAGCTAGGCCTGGGCATGCATGCCGTATCTTGCCAGCCCATAAATTATTAAATGTCAATTCTAACATGAATATGGTATGCATATTAAATGTGTCATGTTGATTGTAAACATGTTGCATTGTGTATTACACCATTCTTGTGTTTATTTAACATGTCTTGTGCTTTCCATTTTTTATCATACCCCAAATTGTTGTGATATTGGTTTAAGTCAATTTTTTATGCACCTTTTTGCAAGAAGGGAGAAAAAAATTAGAATACTGATCATCCTATCATACTAATCCTCCCATATTCAGTGGATTGAATTATCCTATACTATAAGGATTAGTCATCCCATTTGCAGTTTCTTTCATTTTAAGTGAACACAAAACAAGGCAAATGATGAATTTTTTGTATCTATTCATCTTCATCAAATGCTTGCTTATTTCGTTAAATACTGTGACATTGTTTCAATCTTTGGTTGGATCTTTGGGTTTGCAAGTGCATTCACGTTGTTTCTTTCTATACAACTGTTTTGGAACTTATTCGTCTAATTATGTTGATTTTCAGTAAGGCAGGGTTGGTGCCTTTGGTTGAATACAATGAGAAAAAAATATTCGAGGCAAAACTGAAGGATATGAAGTCTGCTTTGACGACCCTGATAGCTGAGGGATCTGACATATCTGAAGTCATTGAAATTGTTAAGCAACGCGTCAAAGATGCTAATCTACCTGATATTGAGGTTGTACGAATTCTGTGGGATGTATTAATGGATGCTGTTCAGTGGTCTGGAAAAAACCAACAGCAGAATGCCAATTCTGCATTGCGACAGGCAAGTTTGTTGGCATTTTCCCCTTTACCCTCGTTTGATTTTTTTGTAGGAATTAAAGGCCTCATTAAAAACCCCCTTCTTGATTGAAGGAGCTTGTAAAGAAGCTCCTCAATCAGCGGAAGAGGGAAAAGAGTGCCTTTATATTATATTAACCATAAAAAATTACATAAGATACATCCAAGGGGCTATCCCAAAATAACCAAAAACGAAATAAACTACCGACACAGTCCTGTACAACTCTACAATGACCTCTAATCTGGCTGGTCAAACCCGGTCTAGCATCGCTACTGAAGACTTACACCCTACACGCAGCCAGGAAAACAGCACAAAACAAATCCACAATATTCCTAAAGCAATCAACCAATCCCCTCCTTAGCTAACTTATCAGTTTCCATATTGAAACTCCTAGGAATCAATCTCAAAACAATATTCTTAGCCAAAATAGATGCCCCAATTTCCTCCATCATCGAACTGAAAAAAGCAGGTGCAGAGATCTGTTTAGAAATCCAATCCACTGCTGTTTTACAGTCACTTTCAATTATTAGTATCCCCTTGTTAGCCCAATCCGATGAGAAGAAAAACATAATCCCTTCCTTAATAGCTTTCAGCTCTGCCAAAATAGGAGTTCCAGGCCCTACCGATGTTGAGAATGTGGCTAATGTATTAGGGGTAGAATCTTTCAAAATACCACCTATACCTCCTTGCAACCTATCCCCTCTTACCGCCCCATCAACGTTAAGTTTGAACATATCTGGGGGCGGTGGAGTCCAACAATTAGCTCCAACTAGATTGTCCGAGTTCATACGAACCAAAGAGTATTTAGCTAAAAACCATTTAGCCAATCTGAATCTGGCGAAAAAGAACAGAGCAGAATCTTCGACCTTCCCATTTTCGAATACAACCAAATTCCGAACCTTCCATATTGACCAAAGAATGACCCCCGAGATGAACTTCCAAATACACGAATTCTTCCTTAAAAACGACCAAGAGCACAGAAATGAAATGGGGTCCTTAGGTAGAGCAGTAGAAATTTCACATAGCCTAAGGAATTTAGTCCACAACTCCCCTGCTACCTCACAAGAGAAGAAAAGGTGATCAACATATTCTTCATGCAAGTGACACAGAGGACACAAAACATCTTTCAATGGAATACCTCTCTTCTTCAACTCCTCTCTAACTGCCAATTTTCCATGACAAAGCTGGCATAGAAACGTTTCCACTCTAGGAGGGCCAATCCAGCCCAAACCCACTTATTCCACTCAAACGAACCTTCTGCTCTGCTATATAAAGACATCCTACAATTTTTGACCGAAAACAGGCCATCACCCTTCCCCGACCACCCAAGAAAATCATCCACCGAATTCGACAAAGTAACATTTTCAATTAAAGACATTAATGCAACCCATTGAACCAGTTCCCAGTCGAGTAAATACCTTCTTAATTGAATGTTCCATACCCAAACATTATGTACAAAACCACCAAACTCAGCCACTGTCCCCCACTTATTAACCGATAAAGCAAAAATTCTGGGAAATTGTGATTTTAAGGTTGAGTCGTTTATCCACACATCATACCAAAAAATTATCGATCTGCCATTACCAAGTTGAATCTTTGAGTTAGCTCTCAAGCAATATCCAACCTCATCATTTTTGACATAGTTGTTTAGAATAGCTCTCCAAATCCAAGAGTCAAGTGGAGAAATAGCCTTCGTAATTGAGAGAGATAAGTTGCTAACGTTGTTCTTGCAACAAATCATCTTTTTACACTGACTATTTTTATCATTTGCGAATTTCCACACCCATTTACCAAGCAAAACTCTATTGATCAACCTCAGGTCTAAGATTCCCAACCCCCCTTCTTCAAACGGTTGACAGACCGTTTTCCAATTCACCCAGTGAATCCTTTTCTTAGCTGGAACATCACCCCAAATAAAATTCGCCATCAAAGAATTCAATTTCTGCATGACATTCACTGGAATTTTAAAAATTGATAGGTAAAAAATCGGCAAGCTGGACAACACAGACTTAACCAGCACTACTCTTCCAGCCATCGACAAAGAATTAGCTTTCCCGCCTGCTAATTTTTTGTAAAAATTATGAACAACCGGTTCCCACATACCCTCTGAATTCTTCTTTGAACCAAGCGGCAAACCAAGATAAGTCATTGGAAAGGATCCCACTCCACAGCCCGCCTTCTTAGCCCAATCTTTTAAGATGACCTCTTCAACATTAATGCCATACAAAGTACTCTTATACTGATTTAAGTGCAGCCTTGACATCACACTGAAAATCCTCAAAACTCTCCTAATATTTAGAATATGAGTAGAAGAGTCTTTGCAGAATAATATGAGATCATCTGCAAACTGAAGGTGAGTGAGATGGAAAGAATTGTCTAACCTGCCAATACTGAACCATTCAAAAAGACCCAGATCAACAGCCTTGATCAGCATTAAATTTAGAAGTTCCCCTACTATATTAAACAATAGAGGGGACAAACTTCAGCCCTGTCTCAAACCTTTACTAATCTGAAATTCCTCAGTTGGAGGCCCATTCACTAACACCGAGATTGAGGCTGAAGAGACGCAACATTCCATCCATGAGATCCACTTTTCACCAAAACCCATAGCCTTCAGTAATCTGAAAAGAATCGGCCATTCAACAGAATCATAGGCCCTACGAAAATCAACTTTGAAAACAACTCCATACCTCCCTTGTTTCCTCCAATAATCAATGCCTTCATTAGCCAAAAGAGCACAATCAAGCAATTGCCTACCGGAATAAAGGCAAACTGCGAAGGGCTAACTATGTTTTTAATAATAGCAACTAGCCGTTTCGACAGCACCTTAGAAATTATTTTGTATAAGCTACCAACAAGGCTTATAGGTCTGAAATCTTCAACTTCCTCAGGATTGAGTTTCTTAGGGATTAACGTAATAAAGGAATGATTAACCCCATGTTCCCATTTCCTTCCTCTATGGAAATCACGAACAAATTTCATAATCTTGTCCTTTAAGATATTCCAATTTTTACCCTCTTCTGTAGGCATAACATTAGGTGGGTTCTTGTCTCCAACGATCGAGCAAGGACCTTCAGATGAGAAGACCTTGGTAATACCCGGCCTCCAATCAGCTAAAAATCCCTCATGAACATAAGACTCCTCTGCATTATCTATGCGACCATCTCCACTGCAATTCTCTACACCAGTATATTGACAGTCCTACAGTCGAGGAAAGAAAGTTAATCATCTCATAAAAGAACACTCCCCCAAGTATCACAGATCCAAGCTGACTCAAACTATATGGTTTATAAAGTTGATAAATGAAAATTTAAGCATGAAAGAGAGTGTCAGAGAGAAAGGGAGAGTGAGAGAGAGTGCCATAGGCGGCCAGTCCTCCGGTGAGGAATGGACGGCGTTTGTCAACTTTCTGAGTAAGAGTGTAACTTGGCGAACACTAAAGGAAATCTTTCAACAACATGGTAGTGTTATTAGGGTCTACATTCCGAGTAGCTCCACCAAGCAGAATTATAGGAACTACACGTTCGCTTTCGTTCAGTTTGAGAAGGAAGATGGGTTGATGAAAGCGATAGCAAATTTGAATGGTATTTGGATAGATGGTAAAAAAGTCTCAGTTGGTGTAGCTAATTACCAGAAGCAGAGGTCCAGGCAAGAGGATAATAGAGATGTAAGAAGGGTAGAAGGTAAATGGAAAAATAGGAACGACTTTGAGAAGAAGACCAAGGTCAGTGTCGATCAGCAAATTGAGGGATGAGAGAACATATAAGGATGCGCTGGTCTCTTATGACGAGCAAAGGGAAGTTCAGGGGAACAAAGAGTTTAAGGAGGGTCGTCCAGGAGAGAAAGAAGGACTGAGGAATGTATGGGAGATGCATATCCCATTAGATGAGTATGATTGGGTTAAAAGATCATTGACTGGAATTATTAAATCCCAGTTTGATTTGGAATTAGTGGAGAAGGGGCTGGCTAGTGATGGAATCATAGTCAGGGGAGCTAAATGGGGCTATACATGGAACTCTTGTATCTTAACTTTCGACTCAGTGGAAGAATTAGAAAAAGCAAGGACGAGCAGAGGGGAGGAACTGTTGTTTTGGTTTGATTGGCTTGATCCGCTTATGAGCGAAGAAGGTGTTCCGTTGGCTTTTTGCTCAGTTGAATTGGTTGGAATCCCTTTATTATGTTGGAACGAATCTTTCTTGGAAAAGTTACTTTCAAAGTGGGGAAGCTGGTCTGTATTCATGAGTCGACAATCAAAAGGGAGGATATGGCGGTGGCAAGAGCTCTACTGAAGGTGGCCAGTCCGTTCGACATACAGGAATTTGTTAATATGGGTTCGTATGGGCGTTCTTTCAAGGTTAAAATTAATTTGGGATCGGTTAGTATTAAACAGGAAAGCTTTGCAGTAAAAAAATCTATGGTGGCCGGAGATGGTGTGTACAGTAACGACGCTCAACCTGAGGAGGAAGATGATAACCATTCAGTTGGAGTTGGTAAGGTGGACTTGATAGCTAAGGATTCTAGGGATACAGATGTCAGAGGGTTGGTAGGGGAAACTTGTACATCTATGGTAGGCGGCAAAGGGGAAGAGCATTTATTGTCGCAGGAACTACAAAGTCAAAATAGTGGTGCTATGATGTCAGAATTACCAGATGGGATTTTGAATTTAAAAGGGGATTATCGAGGTCTGGGTTTAAGAGATGATTTTATAGTTGAAAGTTTGGCAGCCCAATCTGTGGATTCGAGTGAGGACAACCCATTTTCTTTTAGTGGGCCTGGGGTTAATCTAACCAATTTGGGGTTTGGTAAGGGGAATGAATCCCGGTTGGAAACTTTGGTGGAGCCGCAGCAAACTGGTTCGGATAAATCAAATGTGCAAAAAAAGGCTAATGATCCTTCTTATCTATTCCCAAATCCAATTCATGGTGGGGTCGTCCTTAGGATACAGCCAGTACATAGAGAAGATTCTAACAAGTCCAATGAGGTTTTGATTGATGGAGGAACATTCCTGAACAAAGAAGCTAGTAGTGAGGAAGGTATAGAGGAGGTTAGGGAAGAAAAGTCGATTCACATGGGCAGGAATCAAGAGAGTGGATGTTATAAGGAGCCTCATACTATTGGCCTTAGTAGCTGGAGTCCTTTCAATCACCTGTCTAGGAGTCTGCATTTGGGAGGGTGGAAGAGAGGGCCTGTCTCCAGAGTGTATAGAAGATCCAGAGGAAGAAAGGTGTGGTTTAATCCATGCAGAGAAAATGGTTCAATGTTTCCACTGGAGGTGTCTGATCAAAATAGGTCTAGAAATATTCCTACCTCGAGTATTTTACCTATTACTAATATATCGGGGAGAAGCCCGATTGGGACCCAGGATGATGATGGTTCTAGTCAGAAAGCGGATGTAGTTCGGTCACAGCTTCCCCGGGGAGATGGTGAGGGTGTTAAAGGGAATAAGCATGGATCAGAAGCAAGGATTGGTATTAGAAGAAAGAAAAGGATTCTGATTAGGGAAGCACTGGACGTGGCTAGTATCCCTACTGTGTATTCTCCAAATTTTTCCTTATTTTTAGAAGCGCTGGCTACATGGGAAGTCAGTAAATTGCTTGGGATCTCATTCAAAGAGGGGAAGAAGGCCTTTTTGGATAAATAATTAATATGGAGAAAGGTTTGGCTGATCGTGGGGAAGGGGTGGTTCCGGGGAAGTAGGGATCTCTCGGCTGCTTTGCTTTGAGGTTTTGTTTCCATAGATATATACATGGTAAAGATGAAGATTATTTCTTGGAACATAAGGGGTATCCGAAAAAAGGAAAAATCTAGAGCCGTAGCTACTATGGTCAGGAATTATAAACCAGGCATTCTTCTCATTCAAGAAACAAAGTTGGAAAAATGTTCTCAGGCTATTAGGAGAAGGATAGGTGGAAGTATTCTTAATAGTTGGATTGTTGTTCCAGCTGTGGGTCTGCAGGAGGTTTAATGGTGTTGTGGAATGATAAGGATTTTGAAGTTTCAAATAGTCATTTAAGCAGCAGGTTCATAGCTGTCTTTGGAAGTTTTAAGAATTCATGTGATAAATGTGTGATTATTAATGTATATGGTCCAAGTATTGATGCTGAAAAGGAAGATTTTTTCAGGGAATTGCTGAATTTTGTCACTGCTCAAACAGTATCAGTTTGCATTGGGGGTGATTTTAATGTGTATTTTGATCCGACAGAGAAGATAGGAATGTCCCAGAATTGGTTTTCTATAGCTATTCTAAGAAATTTCCTGAATCATACTAATTTAATCGATCTACCTATGGTTGGGGGAAGGTTCACTTGGTGTATAATAGAGAAGCCTCTACTTGGGTCAGATTGGATAGGTTCCTAATTTCTGGGGATTTTCTGATAAGTTTCCTAATGTTCTGCAAAGCCTGTTACCGAGGTCTTTATCTGATCATAATCCCGTTTGTTTGGAGGAAAAACTGTTGATTGGGGCCCCAACCATTCAGATTTTTTAACTATCTTCTAGAGGAAAAAGGGTTTGAGGATATAGTTAAATCATCCTTGGATGTTTCGAGGGGGAGTAGAAGGAGTAGGGGCATTTTCAGCATTCTTCAAGAAACTAAAAAAGCGATCAGAAGTTGGTCGGCAGAAAGTTCAATGGAATTTCTGAGTCCATAGCAGATCTGGAATTGAAGATAATAATCTTGAATTTAAAGCTCAAGCTGGGGACCTCTGCCAACAGGACTGGGGGCATCTGCTATAGTTCAGATCGGATCTATGGAGGTTGTATAGGATCGAAGAAAGCATCTGGTTCCAGAAATCAAGGGCGAAATGGATTAAAGATGGGGATAGAAACACTAGATTTTTTCATTTAACTGCTCTAAACAGGAGTAGGAGAAATGAAATTACTAGTTTGAAGATCAATGGTTCTGAAGTTGCAGATCCGCAATCTATTAAGTTGCATATTGCGGCCTTTTTTAAGGAATCCTATAGTTCTATGTCAACGCTGGGTGTAGAGGATTTATCCCTGGAGTTTGCTATGCTATCAGGGTTCCAATCTTTAAAACTTGAGGAGCAGTTCACGGAACAAGAAATATGGCAAGCGATAGCTTCTTCGGATAGTTCTAAAGCACCAGGACCGGATGGCTTTACCATGGGCTTCTTCAAGAAATGTTGGCCGGGTTTAAAGGAACATGTATTGAAGTTTTTCCAGGATTTTTTCATAGGTAGAAAATGGGAACACGGAGTTAATCACGCGTTTATTACACTCATTCCGAAGAAGACTAATCCGGAAAGTGTGGAGGATTTTAGACCAATCAGCCTTGTAGGTAGTTTATACAAGATTCTCTCAAAGTATTATCTAAAAGGTTGAGTGGCTGTGTTGGCGACATAATAAGTCAATCCCAATTTGCTTTTATTCCGGGGAGACAGTTATTGGATTGCGCCTTCATTGCGAACGAAGGTATTGATTTCTGGAGAAAACAAGGACTACAAGGGGTAGTTTTTAAAGTTGACTTTCGAAGAGCATACGACACTGTGGAATGGCCTATTTTGTTTAGAGCAATGAAAGAAATGGGATTTGGAAACAGATGGTCATCGTGGATTACTCAATGTCTGTCTACAGCCTCTATTTCGATTCTTGTTAACGGGTCACCTTCTGAGGAGTTTGCAATGGAAAAAGGTCTTAGACAAGGCTGCAGTCTTTCTCCACTTTTGTTCAACATTATAGGCGAGATGCTACACTTGATGCTTTCTAAAGCAATCGAGAGGGGTTTATTCCAGGGTATTATTATGGGGAATTCTGGAAATTCTACCAGGCTGTCCCATCTACAATTCGCCGATGATTTAATAATTTTTTGTCAAGCCTCCATTAATCAGATCAAGAATGTAAAAAGGGTGTTGAGGATATTTAGCATTATGACAGGTTTACACCTCAATTTAGCAAAGAGTAAGCTGTTCAGTATCAATTTGGAAGAGGGAGTGTTATCGGATTGGGCAGAACAAGTGGGCTGTTCGGTTGGTTTTCTACCTACAGAATACTTGGGACTTCCCTTGGGAGCTAGGAAAAACACAGAGGCTCTATGGGATCCGGTCTTTAAGAATTTTAGTTCCAAACTTGCGGGGTGGAAAGCGTCTTGTCTGTCTTTGGCTGGGAGGACAGTCCTGCTGAAGTCGGTGCTAACCTCTTTGCCGATTTTCTTTCTATCTCTTTTCAAAATGCCGTGCAATATCGGAAAGAAGCTTAATTCCTTAATGGCTAACTTTCTTTGGGGTGAGAAGGGGGATAAGCGGAGGATTCACTGTGTAAATTGGAACACGGTTTGCAGGCCTTTGAACTGTGGTGGACTAGGTGTCCTTGATTTGAATCTTACTAACCGGGCTTTACTAGGCAAGTGGGTGTGGAAATTTGCCAATGACAAAAACTCTCTCTGGAAATCTGTGTTGTGTAGTAAGCAAAAGATCAGTTGGAACACTATGTCTATTGGAAAGGTTACTTCTCCGAAATCTTCATGGATCTTAAGAGGCATTGCTAATAATTTTTCTAAGAATGATTCGGTAGGGAACTTTCTTAGATTGAATTCGAAGCTGCAAGTAGGTAATGGGAAATCAATTTCTTTTGGAATGATGTTTGGGCTGATGAGGTCCCTCTAAAAATAATTTTTCCTAGAATCTATGTGCTTTCCATTAATAAAGGGGGGAGATTGTTGAGTTTGGCAGCTATGGACCGAGTGGTTGGGAGTGGAATGTCCAAACTAGAAGGAATCTGAGTGATTGGGAATTGGACCAGTGGTTAGCTTTGATGACAAAAATAAAGGATGTCAAACTGTCAGAGCTGTGGAGGACTCTCTTTCTTGGTCTGCTAGTGGAGATGGACAGTTTTCGGTTAAATCATGCAGGGAAAACATTGGCTCGGAGGTAGGAGTAATGATGTGTGGCTACAAGGAGTTTGGAAGGGTTTGGCTCCATCGAGAGTGGAAGCTTTTCTATGGCAACTTGCACATCAGAAATTGGCAGTTAGGCTGAGTTGGTTAAGAGAGGAGTTTCTTTAGGGAGGATATACAGTGTCCTTTCTGCAAGATTCACGAAACAGTTCAACACTTATTTATTTCCTGTATTGTTGCTTGGAAGTTGTGGAATAATAGCTAGCTTCTGGGATATTTCGTTTGTTCTTCCTCAAGACCCTCCTGCTTTGCTTAGTTCCTGGGTGAGTTGAGGGGAAACTCGACGATATGGAAGTTTATTCCAGGTGTTTCTTCTGGTCAATCTGGAAAGCCAGGAATGCTATAGTGTTCGAAGGTTCTAACCTGGACAGCATGTCTCTGTTCTTTACAGTTAGATTCGGCTATCAAAATGGTTTTAGCAAAGTTTCCTACGGTTAATATTCAGGAGGATTTGCTGATTTGGTAATCCATCTAGCAGATGGGTTTTCGTTAACTTTAGACAGAGTTGGTCATAACCTGCGTTGGATTCCCCCCCTGTTGATTTTCTTAAGATGAATGTTGATGGAGCTGTTAGGCTTGGAGGCTCGGGTGAGGCATAGGAGGTATATTGAGAGATTCGGAGTGTTGCACGCTTTTGACTTTTTCAGAGAAAGTGGACCAAGTTACTCCTCCGCTAGCTGAAGTAAAGGCTATTAAAAGGGGTATTGAAATTTTTCTGGCTTCAGTTTGGGTTTCTGTTGGGAGATTGATTGTTGAGAGTGATTGCAAGTCGGTAGTGGAATGGATTAAATCACCGGCTTTGGCTCCTGTTTTCTACTTGTCTTTGGTTAATCAGATTTTGACTCTTTCAAATGGCAAGGTTCATTCAGTGAGGTGGATTCCAAGAGCGAGCAATGGGGAGGCTGATAGCTTAGCTAAGAAAGGGATAGGTTGACTGTAAGGACCTGTCACTGGATTTTCTGGTCCAGTGAGAAGGTCTATTAGAAAATTGTTGTTAAGTTTTATGGGATGTATTGTGGTGTAGTGTTTAAATCTATGTAAGATTATATTATCAATAAAGTTTTTAAGGCACTTTTCCTCCTCTCCGCTGATTAAGGAGCTTACCACTAAGTTCCTTTAATCAGAAGGGGGTTTTTAGCGAGGCCTTCCATTCCTATCAAAAAAAAAAAAAGATATTCCAATTTTTTTTAAAGAAACCCATAGTATAACCATCCGGGCCAGGTGCCTTGGCTCTATCCGAGTAAAAAATCGCTTCCCACACTTCCTGTTCCGAGAATTCGACCTCAAGACCCTCTTTTTGCGCGACAGAATTTAGCAAAATTCAGGTTAATATCATCCACCTCCAAAGTTGACTTTGCATTGTAGTTGACTTTGAAAAAGTCCGTAATAGCAGCTCTAATCTGAATCGGATCAGCAATTAAAACACCATCCACTTTCAAGGTCGAAATTGCATTTACTATTCCTATTAGTAGCACATAATGGAAGATCCTCGTATTCCTATCCCCATCCTTAATCCCTTCATTCTAGACTTCTGCAGCCAAATACTCCTCCTTCCTATGCAGTTTTCCGTTCTGTCCTCCACAGCAAAAGCTGATCCCTATCTAATGGAGTAAACCCCCCACCTTGAGACCTCAATTCCAAAGCATTGATCCTGGCTTCCCAAATCTGTAATTTGATCGGAAAAACCCAACCGATTTTTATTAGACCAATGTTTAATCACTTGCTTAGTACCTTGCAGAATGCTAAACAGACCCCTCCGATCATTGTCCTTCTCTATGATGTTAACAGAATTCTGAACCACCCCAGCAAACCCTTCTCCCTCTAATAGGTAGTTAAAAAACCGAAAGGTTTAGGGCCCCAGTTTTCAAAATCTTCTTCTAGCAGCACCGGATTATGATCTGAAAGTGACTTTGGTAACATTTTTTGGACAACTTTTGGAAAACATTGTAGGAAGCTGCCACTTAATAAAAACCGATCTAGCCTTATCCAAGTGGCACACTCCCTATTATTGCACCAAGTAAACTTCCCACCCACTAACGGAAGGTCCAAGAGATTCAGATTTTGAACAAAGTTAGAAAAGAGATCAATTGATGCCAGTTCTGAGCCATTCCAATCTTCTCCTCTGGATCTAGATATGCATTGAAGTCCCCCCCCCCCAGGCAAACAGGCAAGCTTAGACCTTGCACGTAACCCATCAATCCTAAGAAAAAATCCTCCTTATCAGCCTCTACTGACGGACCATACACATTAATAATAGCAGTCACAATTAACCACCTTGAACTTCCCTGAGACAGCAATGAATCTACTGGTCTTATATTCACTAGTAACTTCAAAAAGATCTTCATTCCACAAACAAATTAAACCACCAGCAGACCCATCAGCTAATTGGAAACTTCTACCTTTCAAAAATTTACCCCCCAACTTCCTCCATAAGCCTGCTTTACAGAAACTCAATTTTGTTTCCTGTAACATCAAAAGACCGGTTTAACTTTAGAAACAACTCTAGCTACTGCTCGATTTTTTTCCTTTTTCCCAAGACCCCTAACATTCCAAGAAATCACATTAAAAAGAGACATACAAAATGAATGACTACAACCCCTCACAGCTCGCTACCTACTCTCACAAACCCCTAGAAGACCCATTCAACTCCATATTCAATATCTCCCTCTTCCAGTAACTGCTGCCCCCCTAAAAGAGATCCCCAACATATCACAAACTTCTCTAGTAGCAACCGCCTCCTCCCTAGCTTTAGCATAGTCGAATGAGGACTCAGACGAAGCACTGTCCTGACCTGAAACTGCTGTGTGTAAACCTCTATCCCCCCTACTGTAAACTCTCTCATGGAAACAAATAGACACTTCATTCATTGAACAAACACTACCTGAGCAACTTGGAGCAATCCTAAAAAACCTGTGATTCGCTTGACCTCTTGCACGAAAAGCTTTTACCCTCGTTTGATTGAAACTCAATGCATTATAGAAGACGAGGAATTTAGCAACAAAGTGGACTGAAATAAAAGTAATCTACCAGTATCTAACATTATTGAAAAGGACATAATTTCCAATTCATATGCATTCAGGAAACTACTTTATTCCACATTTGTTGCAAATATGTTAAAAAATTTACCAGAGATAAGCATCATAATGTGTTGAATCTTGTGCAACTGTTATAGATTATGTACTACTACTATACGATCTACTGATGGTTCAGAAACCATGGAGTGTTCATACTTTTGATCTGTGCTCTTTTGCTTTGTCCTCTTTTTTTCTTTTTAAATAAGATGTGTGCAGGTGCACTTTTGCAGAGATGTGGATGTGGCTAATTTCCGCAGTAGCTTATGCATATTTTTCTGTCTCCTTTATTTAATTATTTGGATTTGGAAAGTACATTGATTAGTGTGTAGTGAGAAAACAGGGAAGGTGACTTTTTTGTTGTAAACAATCTTTTGGATGTCAATTCCTTGGTTTCAATAAGAAAACAGGGTAACTACTTGGGACTGTAATCTAAGGAAGTTGGGGAAGAATTGATGCTTTTACACTTATTATGACCAATTAATAAATTTGTTGTGGTTTAGTTTAGTTGATTATTAGTGCATGCCAAATTGTTTTCTGTTTTAATAGTAATGTCTTTAGTTGCATTTTCTTCTCGTTATTCTACAGTTAATTAATGGGAAACTATTTGATACACAGATTGTAAAATTTAGCCTCGACATCCTTGTGGACCTTGTCTATTTCAACCCTAAGTCCTAAATTCAAACCCCTAAACCCTACTTCCCTAAACTATGAATAAGACAAATGACATTATAATATACAAGGTTGTGTAGCTCAAATTTTACAGTCTGTATATGAATTTTTTCCTTAATTAATAATGTGGTTTAGTTTGTTGAGTATTGGTACATGCCAATTTGGTTTCTGTTTCAGTGATATCTTTAGTTGTGTTTCCCGTCACATAATTCTGCTGTTTAATTAAAAATGTTGGTTTGATATCTGTTACTGCCTGTTCTTTGCCAACTTAAATTGACCACTTCTCCAATTCTTTGTTTTATGACTTCTGATGTATGGCTGTAAATGAGATGTGCTCACAAGTTAGTGGTTGTGTGTCTGAAAAGTATTAATTTTGCTTGGTCATTGTCAGATGAGTAGCTCGAATATAGGTAATCAAATTTGAAGTTAAATGTGGGATCAAGCACTTTTTTTACTATGTAAATGGGCCTAATTGAATGAGCAGTAATAGTTTTATTTTTATATTGAATCAAGCCCAAGGTTTGATAATAGAATTCGATCGAGCACGAGCTTAGTTTTGAGTTTCATGTTCAGAATCAAAGTTGAACTTCTCATTGTTTAGGCCTGGAAGCGTTCATAACACGGTGGCTGAAATTGATTACTTTTTATGGACACCTCCCTAACATTGATAATGTTAAATGTGAATGAATGCGAGACTACCTGTCCTGTGCGGAAGTCCAATAGTTATTTGTTCGCTCATGTTAATTTGCCATCCTGTCCTTGCTAAATTGTAATACTTGCCCAGTTGCCCTTGTAGCGGTGCTTGACTAAAGATGTAGTTTTGCTCGGCTAGATTCAATTATCTTTCTAGAAAGAATAACTTACTTGGAATTTTTGGATAACTATTGCTAAGCTAACTGTTGTATGTTTTTTTTATAACAAATGGCGTAGTAAGTTGTTAATTGGGAGATCATTTCATTATGAAGGTCAAAACATGGGCAAAGCTGTTAAATTCTTCTGCACCATGGCAAGCTTGAGCTGGAACTGATATATAAAGTTCAGATGCAATGCTATGAGGATGCAAAATTGATGAAGCTATTCCCTGAGATTGTGAGGTCTCTCTATGACCAGGATGTCCTAGCAGAAGACACCATTCTTCACTGGTTCCGCAAAGGAACTAACCCGAAGGGCAGGTATGTATTCAAGTTATAGTTGCTGTGATGTCATTGAAAAGTAGTATGAGGTATCACCACATGAGTTGCTGGTGGGAACATATAGTTAAGAATCGGAATTCTGAACCCTCACTTTTTTAACTTGGAAGTATCATTTGCACATTAAAAATTATCACAAAAGAGAAACAATAAAGGGTAGGAACCCAACCCGCATGTTGAAGACATAAAATGCTTGAAACAACACACTGCAATTTGTGGTGCAGGCAAACCCTGGTGAAGTCTCTGGAGCCCTTTATAAAGTGGCTGGAGGAAGCAGAGGAAGAGGAATAAGTTTGCCAACAATAATGACACGATCTGTTTCAGAATAGATTGTGATCATCAACCTTGTACTTGCTGTTTTTATTAATTATATCTATTCATGAGACGATGAACCTGATTATTGGGAGATCCTTTGACATTTGCCGTGTCTGTTAAAACATGTGATGATGCCTACGTGGATGGAGTAATACTTGTAATAAACAATATTGCTCTGTATTTACTATATTTATGGTAGCTAATTGTTGTGGGTTGTGCGTAAAATTCAGTAGGTTTCTCATTATCCTGGAATTATATTGCTCCCTACCCACTTGTTCAAGTAGTCATATTTAAACTAATATCATCGTTTTGTTTTAGATTTACCGTTGATGGCTTGATCTTTTTAAACATATATATATATATATATATATATATATATATATATATATAGCACGTTGGATAGACAACATGCTTAGATATATTCTTTCCTATATGTCAAACATATGCTATATAAGATAAAAACACTCACATAGGCAATTACATATTTAAAAGACATCAATTTGAAAACTAATATGAAATGATCATCCAGCTCAGTTGGTAGAGCACAAGGTTTTTAATATTGAGGTCGTGGGATCGAGTCTAACGGAGGGTATTTTATAATTTGGAGGTCTTCCGTTCTTAACCTGGTGTTGAGGGCAGTTTTCTATCTTACCTCTCTTTTACCCTATACATATGGAAAAATGGGACGGTCAATTTGAAAACAGGTGTAATTCTTAAAAAATAAATTTTTTTAAGTGATACTTTGATAAGAAGAAAACTTCAACTAAACATAGTATAGTAGTATTAATATACATGATAAATTACATAGATAACCACTTAATTGTTGGAGGAATTTGATATAACTATCTTTTTTTTCAATTAGATTATTTAACAATTTAATCAATGTCAATCAAATCACACATACATGACAATTAAAGGTTAATATAATTACACATTTAAATTATTTATATTTTTTATTAATCTAATCATTTAAATAATTAAATAATCTAATTAGAAAATAAAAAACAGCGATCACCTCTAATTACGTGGTTATCCATGTAATTTACCCTAATATATATGAAAACATGATGAAACAAAAACGGTAGAGAGTTGGTGGGGGTGGGGTTGGGTTGGGTCTTTGGATGGGCACAAGACCCAATCTTGATGGGTTACTCGACCCATTTTATTGGATTCATTGTTTTTAAAAGATGGGTTTGGTTGTATTAGATAGGTTGAATTTTTTAAACCATAAGTTTGGGTCAATTTGAATTTAAATTTAAAATAAAATTATTTAATTTTACTTAATTTAAAAAATAATTAATTATACTAAAAGATAATTATAATAATATTTTTATATTATTTTTAATTAAAAATCTATTTTTATAAAATAAATTAAGAATTATATATATATATATATATATATGTCAAATTTAATTAAATCAAATGTAAATTATAGAAAAATGGATCGAATTTCAAATTGTATGAAATCAATCGAATAAAATTCATATGAATATCAAATTTGATCGAATCAATAAAAAATTCGAGTGAACCCGATCCATGTCTATCACTAATTTGTCCCTCATTTCATTATGCATTCGTCTCTTTCTTTTTTTGAGTAAGCAAAGCATTCATCTCTCTTTCTGCCTCTTGTACTTCGGGAGAGGTCCCTGGTTATATGCTGTTTTTCTGTCACGAGCTCAACATCCTCCTGAATCAGCCCCCCCTATTTGCCTTCAATCCCATCTTTTGTCCCACTCTCTTAATTTTCTCTTTCTGCCCTCCTATTTCAAGAGGCAACCGTCGGCATTCGCTACAACCCTAAACCCGTTATTGAATTCCGGTTTGCAGCCCTTTATTTTGCATGGTTTAAAAGCTGCATCCTAATTTCACTTTCGCCTCTTTTGTTTATATATTCTCTTCCCTTCCCTTGAGTGAATACAAGTTAGGATTTCAAAATATTCTCAATCCCACCAAAGAATTTGTTTGTCGTTCCTCCATTGTTGGCTGTTCTTCGAGTTTACGCTATGGTTTCAATAGATTTTCATGTTATTTGGTTGATGCTGGGAAACTTAAAGTGAACAGATATTGTACAGCTTCCCTGTTGCAGTTTGGCTTCCATAATCTTTTTCGCCGAAACTGTTAGGCGTTCCTACCTAAAGGTTCTTCATTTTACTCCTATTTTAATTTATTTACCTCTTAACTTCTGGGTATCATAGATAATTTCTGTTAGGTTATGTTTCATTTGAAGAAATCCAATTTCTTTAGTTACTGCGAATTGAAACTATTGGGATTGGGAATCTATTTTAGCATACATTGCAATTTTGTGATTTTAACATGTTAGCTGAAGTCTATTTTCATTTATATTTACAGTTTTGGAGATGAGTGGTATAGAAATTGTGGACTTAACCAGTGATGATGAAATTGAAGAGGCAGATGTGAAGCCTGTTAAATTGGAACCTGGTGCTGTTGGGAGCACGATAAAGCAGCTAAATAATCATAGTGTTCAATCTGTTGGGCTTCTTAATTCCAAGACTCAAACTAGAAAACAAGCCTCTGAAGAAAATAAAAGCTCAAATAATGCTTTAAGTACTGGGCAAAGTAGTACTAGTGTTTTGGAGCAATGCCAGTCTTCAGGGATGATACAGGGGTCTGTTCAACGTCAGCCGTATTGCCAGCGCCAATTTGTCGACAATTCTGGAAGCTGGGAGCTATGAAGAAGGGCCTGGTTCCAAGGTCACGCTACGAAGTAGGCAGCCATCAGTTATTTTTGCATTTGTATACTTATTGAATTGTGATTCCCAGATCGCTGATGCATCGTGTTTCCTTATTTGACATTTTTACCTTTTATTAAATT